ATGGGGGATCTGGGAAGGTGAAATATTTTAAATGGGGTGGGGTCCACTAATGTGATGGATAGTATTAATTTGATGTGTGAGTAAATGTCCATATTAACCTTAATGAAGGTATAAAATTGACTTTTTTATTAGTCATTAAATCATCTGATCTAATGACTACGATTTATTCTCACTTCTTTCGCTAAGCACCATTCTCATGTGAGCGCGACCATATATATGTATATATATACACATTCGTAAACACGAACGAATAGAATTGAAATGTATGATTTTTTTCTTTATTAAATTACTTAATTTTTCTGCTACACTTTAATTCTTTAAATTACTTAAGTAAAAAAAAAAAGAAAAAAATCTTTAAATTACTTGATGATATAATGATGCTCGAACAACCTTTTGAGTTATTTCACACCAATCTACCTAAACAGACGCATCTCAGACTACCATTCCAACGACTAGTTGCACAGTATTTTTATGATATTATTGATCTTGTTGAATTGTGGAAACTGTAGTCTTATTAGTCGCGAGCACAATATTATAGCTCATAATATAACTAAATGAGCTATTCGATCGACATAAATTTTCTTGTGGAATGATTGTCTCCCGTATTTTTAATCTCCTTTCTTTGGAACTACATTGCTAATTAGTTGATCGTATGCAATCAAGTTTATTCGAAAAAAAAAAAAAATTAAAATAAAATAATAATAAAAAATAAAAAAAAATAAAAGAGCCAACACCATCCGAATTTTAATTCCAAAATTTTAAAGTAGAAAACATAAAAAAGAACACGTAGCATTCATATGTAAAATGATGATGATCCACAAATAACGAAAGACCACAGAAACAACAATCACACATAGCAACTCTTAATTCCTTTGTTCGAAAAAAGCACACCTTATTTCCGAGCAAAGCAAAGGCACCAAAATCCATTATCCACAACACACAAATCAATCACCACATTACTCAAGTTCATGCATGGAGTAAGTAGTTAATTGTTATTAGTCCAAACATATTGATATATTATAGTAAAATTAAAGAGGTTTAATTTGAATCAGCAGTTCTTAGTGCAATAACAACGGCGGCGTATGCCGCGGCAGTGGCCGCTGTGAAAGCCCTCAGTTCGGCAAACCGCTGCGCAATTGGCTTTAATGAAGCAAGGTCCTTTGAACCGTTGACTCTTTGACTCACACTTCCTTGCTTCTGCCACCATTTCTGATCATAATTTATATAAATTAAAAGAAAATTAAAATAAAATATATCAGCTACTGATCATATGATGGTTGCTTAAAGTGATACCAACAAAACATTATAACAGCAACGCATAATGAATTTGCGAAGAATACAAATTTGGAGACGATGAATATTACCGCCGGAAAAGATGAGCATCAACATAAGGACAACAGTAGCAAGCAACCTCAAAAACCTACCCATTTTCTGTTTCGTTTTTGTATATAATTGTATAATTGATTGTGTAATTGATTGTGTGAGAAAACTTGATACTGAAACCAATATTTATAGGTCCGCAAAGCTAATAAAAAGAAGGCGAACATGTATATTAAAAACTAGAAGGAAAGTCGTGTTCATACATCTATTTTCCGATCAGATAAGAAAAATTTTGTATATTAAAAAATTAGTCGTACGTCTTAAAACTTAAAAGTAACATAATGGATGACATAAAGTATAATAATAAGGATACACATGTGGCAAACTTTTATGAATTTATATATAATATTAATTTTAAAACAAAATACTTCTTTACTTTATATAACACATAGAGAAAGCTCGGTTGAATTTGTCGTGGTTAGTTCGGATTATAAACTGAAGATTAGTTAAGCCGGCGGGTTTAGAGAAATAAGCGTTTAGAGAGCCCAACATTCATAGCTCGTTACGTATGTAGTTCGACATAAAAGGAGCTCGGACAAATTTTCGTATAAAATTTTATTTTTTGATATCGATATAAATTTACTATTGAATAACAATTTCACGAGTTCAAAAATTAATGCAAAAAAATAAAATAAAAATATGCAAATAATTATTTCGAGAGTCAAGTATACATACATTATTAGATTGATAATTAACTGCTATATAAATTATTATATTATAAATAATTTAAATATTTACAATCACTACTAGAATTTAATGCATTAGTAACGGATTTGTACAACGGATTAGTATTGATGCCATAATTATGGCCTTAGTAACATAATTTTGCAACATATTTAAATTGGTGCCTTGGTTATGAGTTTTTGCAACATAATCTAATTTGGTTTTATTATGTACTTTTATAAATTATGATAAACAAATGCTTCATTTGTTGAACTTTCAAGTAAATTATAAGTTTAGAAAAGAAACCTAAAATATTGAAATTGTGTTACGAAGATGTCAAACCAACAAATCATCTGTCAAAATATCCATACAAATCATTATATTAAAATAAAAATAAAATACTTCGATTGTATATTGTTATGAATGGCAATGCGCTAAACAAACATATCATTTGTTGAACAACGATGTGAATTGTTAGTTTATAAAAAAAAATTAAATATTTATAATATATATTATTATCAATTATAATGACAAATCAACCAATTATGTACTCTCAAATGAATTAGTAGATTAGAAAGAAAACTCAAAATTTATAATATATATTATTATAAATTATATAAAATAAAATTACAATCTCTTTAAATTAAATGTCGGCCTATAATAATCGTCATAAATTTGTAATTTTACCATCACTTATTTAAAAATTGAAATAATATATTGTAATAAATAATAAGGTATGGGTAAGGCAAAAAAAAAGAGAATAATATTTTTGTAAGTATATTTTACTGTGTGAATATGTTCAATTTTTATGTTCTTCAATTTTAAACAAGAACTCTAAAATGATAGTTATTTTATGATGGTGAAATAAACATATAAATTATATACTAAACAATTATATATCATAAAAATGAAATAACAAATTATAATTTATACAAATATTTAAAAATATTTTATACTAATCAATAATTTTTTCATTTTTCTAATTTATATGATTTATCATTTTGTACGGGGTGTTAAAAGAAAAAACAACCATTGAAAGAGAGATTTGCACTATCTATGCACTTTGCTATCCTTTTTTCCTCTTTTTCATCTATTCTTATTAGAAAAGGAAAAGAAAACAGCTATAATTCGTGCACTTTAATTATTCTAGACAAACTAAATACGTGTAAATGTGTCTTTTTATGAAACTTTAGACGTGTCTCCCTACCAAAAACAACTAGCTCTCTCTCTCTCTCTCTCTCTTTTATTTTTCTCAGTTCCCATTTGCCTTTCACCACGATCCAGCAGCTTCTATTCCGTTAACTTTCATGATCAAATTGCACTTTTCCAACTCTCTAATGTAATAATAGCTATAAAGTTGTACATAAAGTTAGGGGTCCGCTCACAAGCACTCATAGAGTATCTTAGTAAATTTGATTTCATTGTAATTATTATTCTCATTATCTATTACTTTTAATTTATTTTTAATTTTTTTTTTCGAAACAATAGAATATTATCGCCAAAGGAAAAGAATAGAGTACAACTATACTGCAATCATCCAGAATAAGAGAACGCTTAAAGAAGCGTGTAGACAACGAAATTTTAATATTTTATTAATTAATGTTTTTATTTATTTTTGAAACATAAATCAAGATAAATAAAATATTTAATTAGTAAATTTATTATTTCTTGTCCACCAAGTCAAGTCTTAGAATAAGGAAAGAGATTATATCAAATCTTAGTATAAAGAAATAGATTATATCAAATCATGAAGGACCAATCAAATTGATGTCCTATTCTCCAAGACTCTTTCTCCTACACCTATAAATAGGGCTCTCCTTAATGCCACAAATCACACCTCAAAATATCAAACACATCTAAAAAATAAAAGTCTCAAATCCAAGAGCTCTCAAGAACCCTCTTAAATATTTGAAGAAGTTTTTAAAGAATTGTCCGAAGTCTGTTCAATGAAAAAACAAGGCCAAGATGAAGAAAAAGAGGCGCGGCTCGTTCCCAAGAAGTTAAAAAAACGACTTCAACTCCTCTCAAATTCATCCAAGAATATCAAAGACGTTCAAGCGACATTCAAGCCACGTTCGTTGAGAAGTTCAACCAACATAGCGTTTGATCCGAGAAAAAGCTGTCAAGCCCTCGAGTCAACTTTATTCAAGTCAAAATCCCTCTTTCAAAAAATTCAAAGAATCAAGTTCTCCAAAAAGTCTTCTTCAATAAAGTCAAGGCCTAACATTTAATACGGGAATAAGTCATTCAACCCCCAAATTAATGTTAGAGAAATTCAATCTCAAGTATGAAGGAGATTCAATCATCAAATCCATCTCTCAAAATCTCAAGCTCAAATTCACAGAAGAGAAGAATCAGATGAGACATATAGACATTGTACACGCAATATCGTTTGATCGAAATAAATCAAGTTGTACAAAAATTTTATGTTTTTCATATAATTTGTTGTCACAAACTTGGGACGCCCAGTGGGACATTCTATACCTCTCATCTCTTCTCTCCAAATCAAGTTCAAAGATCTTTGAAGATTCATGAAGACTTCTTTGAAGAACATATACAAAGAGGCAACGAAGGATATGTCTTCCCAAGCCATGAGTCCATAAAAAATCGTCGTGTTCATCAAACATCCGAATGGAGGAAACAAAAAATGGTCTTCCATAATCTTCTCAAATTCCATAGAGGCAATTCACATGGAAAGCTCCAACCAAGTCTCAAATTCAAATGCTCCCTGATATGAGCCTAAACTATCTACATATTCAAATGCCCCTTGATATAAGCCTAAACTATCTATATATTAAAATGCTCATTGATATGAGCTTAAACTATCTACAATGCTCCTTGATAAGAGCTTAAACTATCTATAAAGCTCCTCGATATGAGCCAAAATATCCAAATATCCCATTCAAATGCTCTTTGACAAGAGCTTAAACAATCTATATGGCTCATTGACGCGAGCATAAAATGTCTACATATTCAATCTCCTTGACACGAGAATAAAATGTCTACAAGTCAAAATATCGAAGGCTCATTGACACAAGCATAAAATGTCTTCAAATTCGAAGGCTACTTGACACGAGCATAAAATGTCTACAAACTCAAAGGCTCATTGATACGAGCATAAAAGGTCTATATATCAAGATCTCCTTGACATGAGAATAAAATATCTGCATATCCAATCTCTTTGACACGAGAATAAAAGGTCTACAAGTCAAATACGAAGCTCCTTGATACGAGCATAAAATGTCTTCATATCAAGATCTCCTTGACACGAGAATAAAAGGTCTACTCCTTGATACGAGTATAAACTATCTACAAATCAAGTCAAATGAAGAACTCCTTGATACTATTTACAAATCAAGTCAAATGAAGAACTCCTTGATACGAGTTTAAACTATCTACAAATTCAAGTCGGAAACTCCTAGATAAGAGTTTAAACTATCTGCATATTCAAACCAAATCCAAAATTTTGAGACTCATTCACTACCAAGACATTTTGTCCGTGAACAAGTCTCAAGGAGGCATTTATAGACATCGAAATTTTAATATTTTATTAATTAATGTCTTTATTTATTTTGGGACATAAATCCAAGATAAATAAGATATTTAATTAGTAAATTTATTATTTCTTGTCCACCAGGTCAAGTCTTAGAATAAGGAAAGAGATTATATCAAATCTTAGGATAAGGAAAGATAATATATCAAATCATAAAGGACCAATCAAATTGATGTCTTCTTCTCCAAGACTCACTTTCCTACACCTATAAATTGGGCTCTCCTTAATGCCACAAATCACACCTCAAAATATCAAATACATCACAACAATAAAATTTCAAATCAAGAGCTCTCAAGATCCCTCTTGAAGATTTGAAGAAGTTTTTAAAGAATTGCTCGAAGTTCGTTCAATGAAAAAAAAATGCCAAGAAGAAAAAGAGGCGCGGCTCTTCCTCAAGAAGTAAAAAAACGACTTCAACTCCTCTCAAATCCATCCAAGAATATCAAGGACGTTCAAGCGACATTCAAGCTACGTTCGTTGAGAAGTTCAACCAACATAGCGTTTGATCCGAGAACAAGCTATCAAGCCCTCGAGTCAACGTTATTCAAGTCAAAGTCCCTCTATCAAAAAATTCAAAGAATCAAGTCCTCCAAAAAGTCTTCTTCAATCAATTCAAGGCCGAACATTTAATACGGGAATAAGTCATTCGACCCCCAAATTAATGTTAGAGAAATTCAATCTCAAGCATGAAGAAGATTCATTTATCTAATCCATCTCTCAAAATCTCAAGCTCAAATCCAAGAAGAGAAGAATCAGATGAGACATATAGAGATTGTACACGCAATATCGTTTGATCGAAATAAATCAAGTTGTACAAAATTTTTATGTTTTT